TGTTGGGAGTAACGCATTACAAAAGTAACGATATTACAGTAGTATATTACGTTTTGCTGTAACGCAGTAATATAACGCATTACTAATAAAATTTGGGTAATATTATTACTCGTTACAATCTCAGTAACGCACGTTACAACAACATATTTTAACTCAAAATTAAGTGGTGAATTCACCAACACCGCAAAACAGCACCAGGCAAAACAGCACCAGACAATAAATCCCGCGGGTAAAATACTTGTCTATTTCCTGTTGCTGTAATTCGATGTGTAACCGGAATGAGCTTGCTATGCCTTTAAGGGGTAGGTGGCGCGATAGGACAGGTGATGTTTAAAGTCTCGCGGGCTTCAATTAAATGGCGTTTGTTCTCGTTCTCCGCTCGATGAACGAGTGTGTGTGTGGTTTGCTCTCCTGTATTGGCGCGTTGGAAGAACTGCTCGTGTGTGTGATTGCTGCTCTCGACAATTTAGCGTGAGTAAATATGCTTTTATGCATAGGAGTTGAATTTAATGATGTTAGTATAATATGCCCGCTAATGTGTTTTAGGATTATTTCCGTGCTGATGACCTGTTGATCCGAAAACGCGGTGTGCGTGCAACTCCGCGGGGTTTCAGCTACCTAATGTGAGTGCATGGCCAAGTTCATTGATAAGTGAAATTGATATGAAATGCGGTGCCATAAATTTAGGATGTGTTATTTTAGGTTCGCTCTTGTGTTCATACTCGGCTGAGTTGCGAGTGTCCATTTGTACAGAATATACTGCATTGCAACCCACTTCTGCCTTTAGTGAGACTGTTACGTCCAGTCATCAAAGTGAGTCATAGCGCAATGTTGGAAGGTACGTGAGTATTTTGTTTGTTTTATGGTGAAATATGGGGGTTTTACGTGCAATAAAAATGTCAATTGGTTTTAATTACAGGTTTTAAATCCTCTCTCGGATTTAGCGGCCACCGTTTCTTTCCCACTAAAATTTGAGATTTATTTATTAGTTGTAGTGTTTGCTTTATATTTAGTTTATTGGGTGTTCATGGTATTATAACTTTTGTGATTTTATGATATTCATTTTGTTGTGAATTTTGTTTTATTGATTGGTGTACCACGGTATGGGAGGTCTTACTTTTGGTTTGTGTGATTTTGTTTGTGTTTCAGGTATGATTTGAGTGGTTTTGAATAATTTTGGGTTTCTGTTTCCTCCCATGTGGTGTGTTATCCAGTCTATGATTCAGGGTTGATTTGCCTTATCTTGGGTATCATATTCATCATTGGTTTTATACAATGTAATTTAATAGTTTAATTTAAGTTGGTTTACTTTATTTCAGTTTTGTATTTATATCCTTTTTTAGGAACAATTCTGTCAACCCGGTTATTATTTTAATAACATTATCTATGGAAAAGGATTATATCTGTCATTCTAATAAAGTATTAACCTTTTGTACTCTGGCTTCTAGTTCATTTATTTGAACTACCTGTGTTAAAGATATCATTGTTAGGGTCCCTTACCCTAGAAAGTACCAGACAATAAATTCCTCGGGTAAAATACTTTGTCTAGCCTATTTCCTGTTGCTGTAATTCGATGGTTGAGATGACTGAGACGGATTCTACATTTGTGAGATGGGCATACTGCGGGGTCAGAGAAGAGAAAGAATGCGGCGGATGAGCGCAGACAAGCAACGGAAATCAAGTTTAACTAAAAATAACAATTTGTTTTTATTAAATCATAGTCTACATATAAAAGGAATTAATACGCGAAATGTATTTGACTCAAATAATTAACAGATGAACAAAATGAAAGAAAAAAGACAATGTAAAATATGCTGCTGAGTTTGGTTCATTTTTGTGGCGCAAAAGTTCTCTGCAAAAGTTCACGGGAAGGAAACTTTCCGCTGTTCGATCGCGCCGGCGCCTCACGCACACACATACAGCATTGCAAACATTGCAGCCGTTCATTATCAAAATAAAATACAGTCGACCAAATATAGAAACACTGGTTAATTAAAATCGTCCGTACAATCCGTGTCGTTCAGCCTGAGCTCGGGCCAAGCACATATTTGTTCATGTGAAGAGTGTGATATTTCCTTTTTTTCTTTTTTTTTCGGAAAGCGCGTTAAGTAGCCTACAAAAGCATGGTTTACACACTAAATAGGCTAATAGTTTAGCATTCAAATACATTTGCCCTGAAACAAGAAAACAAGAAACAAGAATTTTTCATTCTTGTTCTGTTCTGAATACCAGTAATTCGGATTTGTTGTGGAGTGAGGAGAACTAAAATAGCCTATAGGCTTGCTATTGTGTTTATTGCTTGTTCATTAGGGCCTATAACATTCCGCTTTATTTAGGCTACCGCTATTATTTCTGAATGTAGGTTAATTGCGGGTTGTGCTTGAAAGTGAAAGTAACTCACAAGTAACTTAAAAGTAGTGTAACGCATTACAATTCAGAGACAGTAATATTGTAATGTAACTAATTACTTTTAAAAGGAAGTAACTAGTAATATATAATGTATTATATTTTGGAAGTAACTTGCCCAACACTGGTTATGGGAAGTGTTCCCGGTTCCAGTTGTCCTAATTAATGAAGCCTAACAATCCTTCAACGGATTTGAATATTAGAAATGTGTTAGTGTCAGCTGGAGTTTGTTTATTAAGCGTGCAGAACAACCACACAATAAAGCATTACAATAATCTAACCTTGAGGTCATGAACACATGAATTAACAAATAAATTTTCTGCATTTGACATTGAGAGCATAGGGCTGAGTATCATCAGCATAACAGTGAAAGCTAATACTGTGTTTCCTGATGATATCTCCCAAGCATAACATGTAAAGCGTAAAAAGTAACGGTCCTAGTACTGAGCCTTGAGGTACTCCATACTGCACTTGTGATCGATATGATGCCTCTTCATTCACTGCTACGAATTGATGGCGGTCAGATAAGTACGATTTGAACCATGCTAATGCACTTCCATTAATGGCAACAAAGTTTTCTAGTCTTTTCAAAAGAATGTCGTGGTCAATAGCGTCGAACACAGCGCTAAGACCCAATAGCACTAATAGAGAGATACAACCATGATCAGATGATACAGCAGGTCATTTGTAACTCTTATGAGAGCAGTCTCAGTACTATGATACGGTCTAAATCCTGAGTGGAAATCCTCACAGATACCATTTTTCTCTAAGAAGGAATATAATTGTGTGGATACTACCTTTTCTAGTATCTTGGACAGAAAAGTGAGATTTGAGATCGGTCTGTACTTATAAAGCACATATTAATGCCTATTAATAAGCAGCAAAGTAGGAGTTTACTGAGGCAAAAGTTGTAGTTAATTAGTTAATAGTGAGAAGTGAAACTTAGAATATAGTATGAACAAGTATTTTGAGAAATAATTTTTTTTAGAAAAACTCACTATTCATGTAATTAATGGCTAATAGTTTAAAGTACTTGTCAGTTTAGTAAATAATGTCAGTTTAGTATTTTCAGTGACAACCTAAGAACCAAATCTGAGAATGACTTAATCCTAATGACCAATAACTCTCATGTACTGGTTTAAAATACTGTAAATCAGTTTACTGTACATCAATTAGGTGCTGATAACAAGCTGCAAACAAAGCATAAAGATAGCTCTTTACATATTAAACAATTAAACAAAAATAATTTGTAAATTACAGTGACAATGAACTCACTGTTTGTATATTAACGTATAAACAATGCATTCCTACAAAATAATAGTTTGCAAATGATTTATAAGTGTTTTGTTAATTTATACATATCATAAAGTGTCACTCTGTTCTTTGTCACACCCACATTTGTGTTCTAACTTGTATTTTTCTTGCCAATTTTGGAACTTTGTGCTACAGCACTGTCAACTTAGCATGATTTGCTTGTGCTGTAGCATTCCTCATTTGCAACTTGCTTTGCTGCTGTAAATAAGTGTAAATGCAGACGTGTTTGACTTGACTGTCCTGGCCTCAATGCATCAATAACAAGCTAGCAGAGTCTTCTGTGGATAAATTAAAAGCTCAGTAACAGCATACAGTGCATTTCATTACTATTTCCTGAGTTGCTTTTAGCTAGAATGAAATGGCATTTAGGAGATATTTTGGGACATTTCAGTGGGTGAAACATTGTGATGCAATTTGTGCAGTCTACAGAGCTCTCTGTAAGTGCTGTGGCAGCTGAAAAAGGCTGTTGCTTCAGTCAGCATCCTGGTAAGGGCTTTTTATAAAGGCTGTCTGTTCTTGTTCTCACGAGTATTTCCTCATTTCTCATTGGTCATCGGTGGCCAGATAGTGTCAGGTGACATTGATGGTCATTTAAGGATGGACGGACAACAATCCCAGAATCAATCATTTAAGAAGCTGTCAGTTCTGACATACTATATCCGTGGAAAATCGCCAGATGTCTTTTCTAGAAGGAGTGCAGGTGTGTTTGAGTATACTAGTATACTGTATATATGCAGAACAAGATTTATAGGATAGACGAGAGTAAAGTTGTGGCAAAATCTTGGTTACTAACTACTCTGTTAAATGACAGTCTGTTATTTACAATTGATGCTTGTCAGAATTTCCTTTTGGTTCTTTATTAGATAGGTTTGTAGGAGCAGTCACTGCAGGACTCAAATTGAAAACCAAATATTTTAAAATTTCTGAGATGTAAAAAATCGTTGTCAAAACTGCACAGTGTGTACTGAGCTTTACCTCTAACGCACTTCCTGCTATATTCTGCACTCTAAATTTGCAGAAGAAGAGCATACTAGCCTATATTTTTGACACACAGGATTTGTTGTAGGTTTTACTGGCAAGCTGTTGCAAGATGGAGGACTCCTGATCTCATAACAGCCATAGATGGAAAGATTTGAGTTGCATCATGAGCCAGCCCTGTGATAAATCCATGCTAACTCATCATTTTCCATTCCAGGCAGCTGGATACAGACTATTCACAGCATATAACCAATATATTCGTGTATTACTTTTTTCAAAGCTTATTGGTTAAAATTAAACAGCACTCACAGACCATTTTACTGTCCTAATATGATGTATTTCCAATTCATATAGGATGTTTTATTTTCAACAAGAAAGTAGTTACATTTTAATAAAAGATTACAAAGAATATTTTTTTTCCTTTATAACAACATTCAGCAGTGAATCATTTACAATAAATCAAGGAATTAAAAAGTAATTTTTTATTCCATTTTTAATTTAAAGACTTCAGAAGAGGTCAGATCAAGTTTTTAGAACCTGGTTAATTAGCTTAATTAGTTCCCCATTAGTTTAACCAAAGGGGTCTACCAGCCTAAACCTGGCTGACCAAGAACACCTGGTTGACCTTATGGTAATTACAGTATAATTAATGTAAAAAAGATTGTATTTACAAGGTGAATGAATATGTACTGTAACACATATGAAAGTTTTTTTTTTTGAGACTTAAGTTTCGCAGTCAGTTCCATATACAAAATATAATAGCATTTTACTGTATAATTATGATGAAGGATGTAACGATTCGGTTTTATTTTCATAAACTGAATAAAAACATAAAAACAGCAAAATCATACCTGATACGCATTCTTTATTCATAATTTTGTAGAAGTTGAAAAAAGCCTTGCCTTGCTGTATTTTTGGTAGAAGAAGTACAGCTGTCACTCTATATCTCCCAATAATATGTCTCAGTGAGATATTTAAATGCTTAGCTTTATGATTAAAGTATCATTTTTGATGCTTTAACATGTTTGTTTTTTTTTGTTTTCAAATGATCATCAAGTAAACCTAAGCACTTACATTTACTTTATAAAAAATCTGTAGATTTTACCACAAAAAGACTATACTAAAAGGCTTTTTATTAAAAAAGTATAAAAGTATAAACTATCAATCAGACAACAGAAGGCACATAGTATATTGTAACTTTGGATATTTGCATATAAAATATGATACAGTAGGCTTTATATTGTTCAAACTAAAGTGTATAACTTTTATGTGCTTTAAAATAGTTTAAAATAGTCACCTTTAAATAAAATGCAGTTGTGTGATACTGTGTTTTGTAGGATTAATCATGAAAACATGTACTATATATGCCAGAAAGATTAAACTGACATAGATCTGCTAATGGCTGCTGTATTTATAACAGATGTATGCATATTTGAGTCTGTATTTGTGTGTGTTCTGTTGTATTTCAGTTGCACTGATGTGTCCAAACTCTCATCCCTATATCCTTATGTTCTGTAATCCATTGGGACTCAAGCTGTCGATGGGATTCCCCTTTTGACCTCGGCATTCTGTGGCCATATTGTCCATCCCTTCCCGTGATGTCTTCCTCCAGCCCAAATGA